AATGCCGATTAAAGTGTCGCGCTTTTTAGTGCGGAAGTGTCGTTCAAATTATCGCGCGTGTAAATCATAAGACTCTGACAACGGACAATCCTGATTAACCTGAGAGGAGGAGGAGATCTAGGAGAGCCATCGGAGCAGTCCTGGGGTGAGAATTCATTATTTGCTTATTAGTTGTATTAAATCAAAAAATTATGAGTCGTATCAAATAAAAGACAATACAAAATTATATAATTATATATTTGTTATATGTTGTGCGCGCGTATCAAAAATAAAATTCTCAATGCGTACAATAATCACAATTTTTGGAAATATTAATTATTTTAGGCACATTGTTATAAGTCGGATTTCATTCATGTGTTGCAGATTAATGTAGAGAGAGAGAGCTAGCGATCTAGACAACCTGAGAGGAGGAGGAGGTCTGGGAGAGGCATCGGGCGCCGGCGATGCAACCCAGAGATGAGCATTTATTATTTATTAATTAATTGTTTGGAATCAAAATTTATAAAATTATTTAATTACATGTCTGTTTATTATCGTACGCTTAAAATATAAAATTAAAGGGTACAATAATAATTTTACAACAATTATATAATTATTGCAAGCGTTGCTATAATTTCGATTATTGATTATGTATTGTATTTGTTTGTTATAGATCTACGAAGCTTCGATACAATCAACTGCACTGCTACGTATTGGGTGGTGAGTGATACGAATTACATTTTATTACGTGATAATGGTTTTGTAATGAGTTTGATTATATATTTTTTTAAATAGTTATATAATTATAATAACTTATTTTTATAATGTATTTTTTTAATTCTAATTTTTTAGAATCTTTTCATCCATATTGAGTGTGTATGATAACTTGCCTTTGCACTAGTTAAAGCAAAGTCACATTAGAATATGATGTGAGCTTTGAAAAACATTTCGTGTATATTTTATCGCATTTAAAATATCGTGTAGATTTAATATTCTACAAGATAGCGTTTTAACGTATATATTTATAAAAAACATTGAACTGTTCTTTCTTTTTTAAGTTTTACGCATTGCTTACGATATTTTATATCTATCAAAACTAATATTCTACATGTATATTTTTATATTTTTGCAGATTATTCACGGCAAAGCCGTGAATTTTCTTCATTTATATTATCTTATTCTAAGATGTGCTATAAGCGCGTCATTTTCGATCATAATTACTTTAGACAATTCCTTTCGTAATTTGGGTAAAAAACATCACGGTTAATATCACGGTTAATGAACACATAATCACAGAAGTTATCTTCACTTTTAATAAAACTAGAAAAACACTTTTTTTTACGTAAATTTTAACTAAATTTATATATATATATATATATATATATATATATATATATATATATGTTATTAAAAAAAGTGTTTTTCTAGTTTTATTAAAAGTGAAGATAACTTCTGTGATTATGTGTTCATTAACCGTGATATTAACCGTGATGTTTTTTACCCAAATTACGAAAGGAATTGTCTAAAGTAATTATGATCGAAAATGACGCGCTTATAGCACATCTTAGAATAAGATAATATAAATGAAGAAAATTCACGGCTTTGCCGTGAATAATCTGCAAAAATATAAAAATATACATGTAGAATATTAGTTTTGATAGATATAAAATATCGTAAGCAATGCGTAAAACTTAAAAAAGAAAGAACAGTTCAATGTTTTTTATAAATATATACGTTAAAACGCTATCTTGTAGAATATTAAATCTACACGATATTTTAAATGCGATAAAATATACACGAATACATTATATTATATAAAATATATAATATATCGCCGCGTTCGCGATAATATAGTATATTGTTATAGTACATAAAATATTTCGGCATTAAAAGTAATAATAACACGTGTTCGGTTTTTGCAACATACAGCGTGCTATTGTTTACGTGCCTCGACTTTGTTATCATTCATGTAACGACACTCGAGCAGGAAAGTAATAGTGTGACTTACTCCGTCGAATTCTTTTTCTAAACGCGATCGCGATCAGTATAAATTATTTGCTATTATAATATATTTAATAATTAATTAACATTTATTAATAATACGTAACTACATATATATACATATGTCACGACAATAGGTTTCAAAGCGCATATTTCGCGTAATTTATTCATTTAATCAAGTAAGAATCGAAGTAATTGTTTTGTTGCGATTTTTAGGGACAATGATTATTTCCTTAACGTAGAATCAAATACTTTGTCCGCGATGCTTTATCATTCAACTTTTTGACAATCTAATATATTTTGGATTAAGAATATGAAATAAAAAACAATCAAATTGCAAGTCCGAGAAATTACGATGACGATAAGCTCCATGATACTACAAAATTATTTAATAAATAATTGATCAATAAAAATTAAAATATTTATATAATTTAATATTCCGCATATACAGAGTGTCCCAAAAGTCCCGGAACGATCGAATATTTCGAAAATAAAGAATTTGTGAGAAAAATGTTTGAAACAAAAGTTGTAGAGTTTTAAGTGGCGTATTGAGTAGCAGTGTTAGTATGACTTTAACTGGTCTTGTTAAAGTCACGTAAAAATCTTTTTCAGGTAGTACTAATGTTGGCGGCACTGTATCTTTCAAGCTTCATAATTCGGAAAATATTTAAAGGAAAAGAACTTTATATTATAGTATTTTGAAAAGCTCTCAAGGTAAACTACAAGAATATGCAATAAAAAATGGGAGTTTCCATTTAAAAATTTCAAAGTGATTTTTACGTGATCTTAACAATGTTATTTAAAGCATTGTCACACTAACATATTGCTACTTAATGCACCACTCTTAAAATCCTACAACTTTTATTTGAAACATTTTTCTCAAAAATACTTTATTTTCGAGATATATGACCGTTCTGAAACTTTTGGGACATTCCGTATATGTTATAGTATATAAAATATTTCGATAGTGAATGTAAATAGAATAATCAATAACATGCTATTCAGCCTTGGCGGCGTAAACATTGGCGCGCTATTGTTTACGTGTTAAAGCCTTGTTGTCATTCGTACGGCGACTCTTGAACAGTAACGTAGTAGTATGCGAGACGCTCCGTCAAATTTCTTTTCTAAACGCGATCGCGATAAGTATCGGGAAATGTGAGCAGTGAGCAGTGAACAATGAGTAGCGAGCAGTCAGCAGTGAGCAGTCAGCAGTGAGCAGTGAGTAATGTTTAATATCTTACAAAAGCTATTCAGTTTTTCTCAGTACATTTGTAAATCTTGTACTTGAAATTTAAGTAAGTCTATGTTTTTCTTTTATATGAGTAAGAACCATACCAAAAATGCATACAACAAAAAAAAAACTTATTTTAGAAAGTTACACTAAAAATCTTTAAAATTTTCTTTTTGGCTGGAATTTTAAATAACAATACCTGGAAAAGCAGGGAATTTTCAGATAATTTTTTTACCAAATTTAAGTAGATATTCTGTTGTTAGTACTCTGTCATTAATAAGTGTTTAATAAAACCAATTAAAATTCTTCTAATAATTATCGCTCTCTTTAACGGCTATCAAAGAAGAATTTGTTTTCTGACTGATAAATCTTATATATAAAACATATATATATATAATTTTTATACGAAAGGATCGTGTATAATCAAATCAAAAACATTTTTTTAAAAATATTTTATTTTGTTGTACATAATTATTTATTCATATTTAAGTATTCTTTCTCGCGCAAGACGATATTCCATTAAATAATTCGTTTACACTTCTGTTTACATTGAAAATTCGCTTGTGAAAGGTAGGGTACAGCAACTGTTATGTACCACGTGATGCTGATATACATTTACTATATTTATTATGGCAGCATGGTATTGTGTTCTGAAATCTTCGAACACACAATATACGTTTTTCTCTCATGGATATATTTTATATATACATAAAGTATATTCATATATCATTGCTTGATTAAAATCTCACGAAGAAAATTCGACTGTTAAAAAAAATATCGTTTAAAATTAGATTGTATAAAATTTTGTACGACGGAGAAAAAATTGCAATTATTTCTAGCTAATTCGTACAAAAATTCAATTACTAACGACGATATATACAATGACTCGCGAAATATAGAGAAAAATTGAGAGCAATAAATAAATAAATTAAATTAAATCAAATATAATGTGAGAGAAAAAAATATTTATTTAATTTTACTCATTCCTGTATAATCACACATGATCGTGCAATACTGATACTTTCTTGTCCGTCCATGTCTCTGTAGTCATATATTACAAATCGCATCGTACATATACACATACACACAATTAAATATAATCAATAAATCGCAATAAAAATATTTTCATACTGTACAAATAAATATATAAAACATCGATCTATCATCGATTTTACATTGTCGACGACTAGCCAAACTTTTAGCAGTTTCTTATATTCGGATGATACATAGATATATGTAGTTTTATACCTATCCATATATACGATATTTTGGCCGAGAACTCGACCTATCACGATGTCATAGTTACACAATAATGGTAATCTCGTTATATTAACATTATTGTTTATTTTTGAGCTTGCCCTTAAAGAACTATATAAATTTTACGTACATTTCGCGAAACATTTATAATCTCGCGTGTCTGTAGCGTTAATTTTCGAATCTACATTTAAATGACATTTTTTTATTTAAAAATCCCAAGTTAAATGCTTACATTCGACACGAAAGGAAATCGTAATATTCTTCATGACAATATGAAGTCTACGAAGGAAAGTCAGCTTCTCCTCATTCTTTGGACAAAGTTTTTGCTTTCATAAAATTTGCCAGAAAATCTCTGTCCGAGAAAATAAGCGCGAGCTTCTTTCCTCTTTAGACATTCTCTAGTCATCTTGCGTGTATAATTATAATTATGTAATTGCAATTACATCGGATGTAATTGTTCTGATATCCTTGTGAGAGGTTCTTCATCGAGTTCATTCGAAATTTGATTCCAATGCTCATCCTCTTCGTCTTCTTCGTTGTGCATCGAATCTTTCCTAAAGAACAATCGGAATTTTTCATTTATGTAATAAAACTTAGAAATAAAAAAAAATGAAATATATATATTAATCTTTTGATAAAAATAGATATCTATAATATAATAGTTATGAGACACCCTGCATATATTTGCACGAGGAAATCACTACAAAAAGAAAATGTAACTTAAATGATCGATGATCTCGTATCTTCCAATAAATAAAGTAATACTATAAAAATTTTGCTGCTGCTAATTTCTATTGTAGATATAAAATCGAAAATTGTGAAAGTAATGTTACTAACTGATATTTGTTGGTAGAAGAGGGTAGAAATAAAGATTTCGGGCAATCTTTAAAATAGGGCCAGCACTCGCCGTGAAATTTCCCGCGATTTTCCGCCTCGACGTATTCCTTGAGGAGATTCGCGAACGGCGATCGACTGGCACTAAAAGCGAAATTATCGGGATTTTATTTAAAACACCACTTTATACGGTTATAAAACATACAATTACATTGTACAGCTATTAATTATTTATATAAAACACAAAATTATTTCGCAACAATATCTCCCGAAAAATTCACGTTGCATCTATTAATTGGCATCTTAATCGAAACCGACTTACGTGAAGAAGAGCTTTAACATTTCGCCGATCAGGCCAAAGTTGTTGAGATGATGTCCCTGAACCTCGCAGATCGCCCTTAACACGCATGCTTTCCCGTTCATTCCCAAGGTGCTCAGCATATCTTCGGCGGTACCATAGAGTAGGGCCCGTTCACCGCCGTGGAACGCGTTTTTCGGCACCTCTGCCATGTCCCGTTTGTGCAATCTGCGTTTGATGAAGGCTGCGATAAAGTCCGCCATCATCATGCCGGCTTGTCGGCTTTTCAGCTTTCTGTCAAAGCTAGGCGGTAGGGCCCCGTACGGATTCTCGTTGTCCGTCAAGCCCAGCTTGTCGAAGTCGACTGAAAAAGAATTCCGCGAATCGCGATTCGAAATAATTTTACAAGATTTTCGCGAAAAGATTTTCTCCATCTCTAGAATTGCGAGTGAGATTACGTGTGAAAATCGATTATTTAGTATTTCAGTTGAATTAAAAAAGTAGAAAATTGTCCGATGGATCACATTTACAAATAATATATAACATTATTTTTCTTCAAATAGATTCTTCATATTTTTATTTTGACGGAATTTTAATATAGATCATAATTTTAATTTTTAAGAGAATAATTTTTAATTTTTGAAAGAAAAAATAGGATCTGACGTTACTCCTCTATTTACAGTATTGAATTTCTCACAAAAAGTAAATCAATTTACAATGTCGATTAAAACACTGTAATCATTGATGACAAGTTAAGTCACATTTTTCTCGATCTTTTGTAATTTTGAGTTAAAATTAGAAAATTCTCTGATAGATCAAATTTACAAATATATAGTATTATCCTTCTTCAAATAGACGGAATTTTAATACGGATCCTAATTCTAATTTTCAAGAAAAAAATAGAGTCTGCTATCATTCTATTTGTAGTATTGAATTTCTTTCAAGAAGTAAATTAATTTTGAATACCAATTAACAACATAATCATTAATGACATCGAGTTAAGTGACATTTTTCTCGATCTTTTTTACTTTCGCGTCTATAGTATTTAGCTTTTCTCTAGTATTTATAATCGCGAGAGAACGTTCGACTCGCAAAAGACTTTGCTTTGTACGAGTTTCCGAGAGAAAAAAAAAGATGAAGATGATTAATGGACGGACTCACTCGTGAACGGTAGACTGATGGTTATATTGCTGAGGAAACCGTATGGTGGATGCCTTACGAAGGGCAACGCCAGTGTCGGCGTAATCGTCATGACCGTGCCGGGCGGTAGCGCGATCCGTCCATCGTTCGTGAACCAAATTACTCTATAAAAAATAATAATTATATATAGAATAAAATAATTGTATATCGCAAAAATAATTTATAGTATACTTTTATTTTCTTCCGAGTATATATACATATATTCCGTTATTATTATCGATATAAATTCTTTCCAACGCATGTTTCCAATTAATTAAATTATGTTATACTATATTATGATATATCTGTCCACATAAAATAAATGCAACCGAGCGCTTAAACTTGCGGCCTACATTTTTGACAGTTCGCGAGAAGAGTCAGTATCCTCTCCACACGCCCATTACTGATTTTAATATACACCGATGTAATGTACCGTCTTTTACGAACTTGCCCCGAAATTTGTCCACATTTTTTGTGCCTCGAATATCGTAACGGGTATTCGTTACCGAATATGACCGGTATCATCCGAAATGTTTCTGCGAGTTTTACGTATCCTCTTCAAGAATTCAGCGAAAATCAACGTAACCAACTTGATTTGATCTAGATCGTCGACGAACCGGCCCACATCGTCCGACACGGTGAGAGTAAAGTTCAAAAAAAAAGATGAAGATGATTAATGGACGGACTCACTCGTGAACGGTAGACTGATGGTTATATTGCTGAGGAAACCGTATGGTGGATGCCTTACGAAGGGCAACGCCAGTGTCGGCGTAATCGTCATGACCGTGCCGGGCGGTAGCGCGATCCGTCCATCGTTCGTGAACCAAAGGAGCCTCTTCTGCCTGTGATGCGGCCGTTGGCCAGAGGCCTCGTTTTCCGCATCGTTTTTTCCGGCACCGGACGATTTTTTCAATAGAGCCAGACCGAGTAGCAGCAACAAAAGACCTCTTCGCGTCATCTTGTCGTCCGGCAGCTGCAATTAAAATCCGCTTGTAAGTAAATTGTCGTACTCGCGGTTATAGTTAGCAAATAGATATTAGAATTGTGAACATCAATCGCCGGAATAATTAAAATTCCTGCGTTCTCAAAAGTTTGTTTCACTCTTGTTCTGCATTGTTTGTCAAAGAGGTAATAGATTCAACCGTAGAAAATAGAGTTAATAAGTATTTTAGCAACGATATAGGTGTGTGTTTTCACGTCGTAGATTGTAGATCGTGCGGATTAAATTAATGGTCTTATTTACGAATACCCCGTAATTCTGTCGTCTTCCTAACGACGCGCCGGCGTTTCAAGTAGGCCGCACGACAGATCCCGCGGAATTATATTTGCGATAAATCGCAACGCGCACGATGCGTGCGTATATTACGTATCGAACTCACGAGACTTACGGTACCCGCGTTATTGGATCTCTCCGAAGGTAAAACGTTTCCCCGCAGGCATCGGAGAGGGAAAAAAATTTTTCTCCGACAGATATCGCCAATGGATTTCGTCATCAGTGCGATTAATATCCTGTTTGCGTGCGAGAAAATTTTTGCCTCATTGATATTCGGGACGAGCGCGTCCGGCCGCGAGTTTAGCCAATTCGGCCAATTAGAAACTTAATTTGTGGGTAAAGAGGGTAGACCATTTCTTTTCGAAATAATCGTGCGCTACATTATTTTTTCGCGCTCAAATCTTTATTCCGTCTAGTAAATGTGTATGTCTAAGCATTTAAAAGACACTTTTAATAAAAATTTATTAATTAATATGACATTAAAATTTATTTATTTATTTATTATGAAATCACATTGGTGGTTTGAGAATTGAAAATTCGAGAATAAAGAAGCGAAAGCTCCGGAATTTTTATATTTTACTTTAGATTTTAGATTGTCGTTTTATACGCACGGTTTTGTAAAGACATGCTCGGCGGAAGGCATGCAAGGCTAAATCGCATCATTTTAATTACGATAAAAACGCGTCTCGACATCGCGCGCATCTCCTGTCTTCTCCCTTTCACGTCACCAAAGTGCGTGTGACGCACACACGTCGTCGCGTCTCGCGTCTCCCTACTTACGGTTGTCGGGTTCAGTAGGCTTTGGCCGGTTCCGTAACTTTTTGATTGATGTAACAGTATATACAAACTGCAAAACCCCGCGTGATTGAAGGGGGAAACCAGGCGACTGGGCTTCGCCCTAGAAAAATGCGATGTCGTTTGTCCGTAAAGGTACACATATATCGTGTCACACCATAGCGAACATACCGTTTGATTCTCGAATCGCGAATGACCCAAGTACAAATATTGATCGTGTTATATAAAATATATATATATAAAATTTCCCTCTTGAATTTTTTTTTTACGAGTGAAAAGTGTGTATTATATTCTTTTATTATTTTCATTACTCTATAAAATTTTTGACAGTTCGCGAGAAGAGTCAGTATCCTCTCCACACACCCATTACTGATTTTAATATACACCGATGTAATGTACCGTCTTTTACGAACTTGCCCCGAAATTTGTCCACATTTTTTGTGCCTCGAATATCGTAACGGGTATTCGTTACCGAATATGACCGGTATCATCCGAAATGTTTCTGCGAGTTTTACGTATCCTCTTCAAGAATTCAGCGAAAATCAACGTAACCAACTTGATTTGATCTAGATCGTCGACGAACCGGCCCACATCGTCCGACACGGTGAGAGTAAAGTTCAGTGGGCCGAGTGCATTGCGCGGAATACGAAATGCTTTTGACCCGTATATTTTGATATGCGCGCGGTGTCGTTCACACGAGGACAGGGGAGCACGCGGTCGAGACGGCGCCTCGCATTAAACCACCTGTAATTAGGTCCCGGTCCCCTGATATCGACCGTGGCACATGTGTTTCGACGAAACACCGTTAGCTCGTAAAATCCGGGTCATTTTTAAGATCCGCGGTTCC